CTGCAGAACTGGTATAGATCAATCTTTGTACGATGATAACTGCCACTATAAAGTGTTTAAATAGCTTTATGGATGCCTTTAAGTTGATCGTATATAAATCAAATAGATTAAATAGATCGAAAAGTACTTGAAATGAATTAGAAAGTACTTGAAGTCCTTAGCCAAAGACACTTGTACTTTAAAGTACTTTTGGGTAAAGGTTCCGCACAATCAATGCTATCAAAAAACACATTAATTCATCCACTTATAGTACAGATGTACAGATAGTTAGATCTTATAGATCTTATAGATAGAATCAATCCTTACAAAAGCCTTTTAATTTAATTTAAATTCGACAAAATGTTCGATCCCCACCCATTTGCTTATCGCAAACTCAATCTCAGTGGCAGGGAATGGGGGCATATTCAATTCCATTATCAACCTACGCAAATCCCCCACACAACACACACTAATCGAATCGGAAGAGAGGCGCGTCCGCTGCCACATTATGAATTTAAGTGCAACAAAAGGCCACAGCGACAAAAATATTGTGCAATTTTCGCAGGCCAACAAAAGAGCCGTCAAAACAAGGAAGAACCAGTCACAGGCGACCCATACCCAACACAGACACCAGACCTAAGCCCAGACTTGACCATAAAAAGGAGCAGTCAATGTACCCCGAATAAACATTAAAAAAAGGAAAGAAAGAAAAAGAAAACCATAACCATACCATGCACAAAATCCGAACGAGAACAGAAACGAGGAACCGAAAAAGCATAGCCATGACGCGTCAGCGGCAGCGGCGACAGCCATGACCCACACCAACAAACAGGAAGAGCAAAGGCGAATGCCAAAACAACTTTTGCCCAAAAATGTGGAAACTGTAATAAAAAGACAGAGACAGAGTTGGAGTAAAAGAGAGACAGAGACAAGGAGAGCGAGAACTACACAGAGATTGTGAGAGAGTTAGAGCGAGAGAGTCGATGCAGGTTCTAGAGAGTGTGCATAGAGAGCGTAGCATTTACTCGCTTCAACGCCAAATTTCAATTACAATTACCAACACGAGTGGGAGAGTAGGATAATGCAAAAGGAAGTAGGAAGTGGAAGCGAACACACAAAAAAAGTGAAGGGAAGAAAGGCAGAAAGATAGGGGGCGGGAGCAAAGGCTGTTTGGGCCGGCCCTGTCGTTGGCTGCGGATTACGAGTAGTGCAAATGAAACATAAACTAAAGCTGCTGTTGTACGTTCATTTTTTTGCCGATGGTTTTTGAGTTGCATTTGAAGCAGAAGCTGCGGATGAATGTACAATGTTTTTTGAGCCGATATAAACGAGGTTTTTCTTCATTTTGTAACATTTTTGTTAAGACTAAAATTCCATAAAATATTGCAGTGAACATCGATGCATCGTTTAATCACTTCAGGTGTTCCTTGCTGTCTTAGATTCTTTGCCAAAGAGCACTGGTTGAAAACGAACCGTTTAATGGCAGCTTATCCCCACTCTGGCTTTGGTTCTGGCTTCTGGCTTTGGCTCTATCTTTGGTTCCGCTTCTGGATGAGGCACAAAACTAATTCTCTCGAGTTCGATGGTGCTGCAGAAACATATACGTTCCACGTACATACATATATGGGGAGCCATTAAAAATGGCTGCTAACATGGCTGCGAACACGACACACAACATACACAGACATACAACCCGAAAAGAAGAGCAACAGACAAACAGAAGTGCAGAAGGAGACACATAACCCACACACAGAGACCCAGACCTACCTACACTCACAGAAGAGACCAGAGCAGAGCGGAGAGCTCCACTCGATGGAGCATTTAAATCGGAGCAGCAGCTCCGCTCCGTTTGCGCTCCACGAATGGAGTTGCAAAACAGAACGTCCAAAGGTTAATCAACTCTGAAACTCTTGCAACCAAACTCAGTCGCAACTCTCGCAAAAACTTTTTTTTCTCTAAATGCTCAACCAGGCAGGCAGTCAGGCAGTCGGTAGTCAGTCGGCATGTGGCATGAGGCAGGCGACAGAGTTGCCATCGCATCGCGCAACTCCATGGAGGAGAAGAACAGAACAGCACAGAGGAACCATGGCCATGGCCCCGCATGTTGTTGCCGCTGTCGTTGTTGTCTGTGGCACGAAACGCGAAAAGAATGGAAAGGAAGGGAGTGAAGAAGTATCAGCAGCAGTCGAAGGCAGCGAAGGCCATTTAGCATCTAATTGAATTGGTTGCATGGCGTGGACTCTGCTCCATTCTGCTTTTTTCTCTGCCCAGGCTATCCACCTCTTTGATTGCTGTTGTTGTTGTGCTGCAAGCTCCCATGACAATGGCATTGATAGGAGAACCCCACACACACACGTACACAACCCACAATGCAACCGAAGAGAGCGCACCACAAATTGGAAGAGCGCAGCGAAAGAGTTGAGGCGGAGAGAGATTGCATAATTTTGTGCAACGGGTTGCACGGTCTGTGAGTATGTGTGTGTGCCTCTCTCTTTGGATGTTCTTTCCGTGTATGAGTGTGTGGCATTGGCTTTTGTCTATGTGTTGAAGCTTTGGCCTTGGTTTTTTGTTGAGGTTGGCGTCTGCGGGGAGACCCAGGAAATTGTTAAATGCACAAAATGTGTTTAATATTTCAGTGGGAAGGAAAAGAGTTGGCAGAAAGAGTTAAAGATGTCCATCATTTGGTTGAGAGATGAATGGGAAATTTGATTAGCGGCTAGTCCTTTGATGATTTCCAGCAATTTTTTCTGAAACACATTTAAGAGCTTCCCCAGATAGAACCCCTTAATCCCCTTTATCATCCATTAATACAGACTTGCAGAACACTTTTCAAGCTTGCCAATCCCGCTTCACAATCATTTAATGCAATTTGCATATCGACCAAATTATACGATTATTATCTTTTAAATTCATTTTCGCTGTAAGTTTTCCCCCCTAACCTTTCCATTTAAATGCCATCAATTTCGCCCCGCCATAGCGATAAATGAAAATTAATGGCGGAAATTCATTTGACAAGCAGAAAATATTTACACACAAAAAAGAGAAAAACCAGAGCAGTAGCAACAACTAAAGGAAAAGCAAACAATTTCCAGATGATTGCATCCCCCAATAATGCAGCAGCGGCAGCTGCGTCAGTCTTGGTCATTCGGCAAATGAAAATACATTTATGATTAATGAGTGCCAGAACGAACAGAATGGTTGGTCTTGGGGTTAGGGTGCGCAACGGGGGTTTTTTTCTCAAACAAAAATCAATTTAAATATTGCAAGAGGTTTTACATTAAATTGGAAATGTTGAACATGGCGGATGAGTGATTTTATGTTTACCCTTTAGGAGGGATGATATGATGAGCGACTGCATTGTTCATAGATTATTGTTTGAGGGTTTGCAGAACCACAAAATCGAGGCTCCATGTGAGTTTTTCTCATTTCCATATATCCAAAATCTGTTTTTAAAAACAATTTTCCACTGAAAGTTGCATATTTTTCTTTCAAAACTAACCATAATTTGATCACTTATTCTTGCATAAAATTCCAACAGCAAAGTGCAGCAGCAAATCTTTCGTATCCCCAAAGGCTATGCTTTGCTTTTCCTTCTGCTGGTTCATTCAGAAAATATTTATGTTAAATAAAAGCCCCCAGGGGAAAAGTAAACAAAAGTTGCACACATAAACACAAAGAGCAGGAAAGCCAACAAAACAATTAGATAAAGAGTACAAAACAAAAAGAGAAAGAGTAAAAGGTAAAACGTAAAGAGAGGACGTTGCCAAAGAGAGAGGAGAGCGAGAAAACGAACGAGTTGCAGGGGCAGAATTTGGCAAACAAAAAACTTGCGAAACCAGAAAGCAGTCAGCCCTCTCTGTCTCTCTCTCGCTTATGCTCTATCTGTGAGTGTGTGTGTGTGTGTGTGTGGAGTATCTGTGTGTGTCGATGGCTCTGTCTGTGCTGAAATTGTTGAGGCAGGTCCTGGGCCGGAATACGCGAAAATAGGTACAGCCAACGAACTTCTGCTGCCGCTGCTGCTGCTCTCCAGACAGAGACCCAGACCCAGTCCCAGTCGAAGTCAGAGTCGGAGGAGTCCCAGTGGCATGCCATACCCCTTCTCCGCACACACACGTGCACGTGTATGAGAGAGTGCTGGCTGCTGACTGCTGGCTGCTGCTGCTACCACCAAAAGAAGCATTGCAAACATGTGGCAAAGTGGCAGGGCCAATGGGTGAAGACGGCAAGTATAGCATCGCATCGCATCGCATGAGAATCGCATGGCAATGGCACTGGCACTGGCAATGGCACGGCATCGCATCGCAGCGTCATTGTACATATGTAGTACGCGGATGGCTGCAACATGGGGCACACACCAGGAACCAGAGGCAGCATGCACAACGAGCCAGTGGCCAAAACACTCGATAGATACAGCCGCTGTCGACTGTGCCACGTCTCTGCCACGAACATAGTTGAAGTCGAAGCAACATACAGAGAGGCACAGAGTCTCAGAGTTTCAGTCTCTGCCTGTGCCTCTGCCTCAGCGACGTCTGCCTGCCACCGTTTCCAGCTACAGCTTCAGCTTCAAGTTCAGTTTCAGTTCAGTTTGTTGCCGTTCAAGAAAGCTGCAACCCAATACAACTCTATCCATATATACATAACCATATATGTATAATACCATCTATAACCCTATATACCATATAGCCAGCCATAACTATGGTTACATATATTTTTGTTGTTTCTTTTTGTTGCGTAGTGTCTGTGCTTACAGATGAATATGTAATGCAGTTTTTCCTCTCTGATTCTCTCTCTTTCTCTCACTCTCTGTGTGTTTTCCTCTCTCACTGTCTCTGTCTCTGTGTCGGCTTTTCCTTTGTTGCAAATTGAATTGAACTGCAGCGAGGCGATCGGCTTACGTGGCCAGAGAGACAAAATCTGTTGAGGATTAGACCAAATCGAGTGGAATTGCTTTTTGCAATCAGACGAAACGCTTAGATATTTTTACTTATGTTTATATATATATCTTTGTGTATTATTTGCAGATTATAAAGAGGAACTACAGGAAAAGGAGCCATAAAGTAGAAGGAAGAGCTACATGAAGCAGCGAAGGAAGAGAGCTCCACCAAAACAAAGAACTTTAACAAAGAGCAACGCGAAGGAATTGTCGTAAATATATCAAAAAATATATAACAATCAAAAAATATCTACTAAAATCAAAAATAATTGCAGATAAAGAACAGACACACAAGGAGAGAACTTCCAGGACAACTTCAGCTGCTCCAAATCGAATTTCACAACTTTACCAAATGGATTAAACATGTTTTTGCCTCTACAAGAGGGTTGTTCCTCGCTCGAGGAATACAAAAAGGAAGCAACATCTTCTTCTATCAATGGATAAAATAGTTTATAAAACAACAGAGAAAAATGGTGCATACTTATATATGGACCATTAACAGAAACCCGTAATTCCGAACTTGTGCTGTTTTATATCTGTTACAAGACCGGCATTATGGGAGTCTGTCAATGCAAACAACTGGTTTTTGGCAACAAAATTGATCACAAATTTTTCAAAAGTAACTACTACATCTTTTTGCATACAAATTGAAGGATAAATGAAGGAAACACAACACGCAACTTAGAGGAATTTATGTAAATATTCAGCGAGTATAAAGAACAAGGTTAAATGGAAACATGAAAGCATAAAGCAATATTTAAATCAAAAAGTAATGCAATATAAACCATAAAAGGAATATAAATGTATAAAAATGAAGTGTCCAAAAATTAAGCTAGAGAACTAACAAAACTTTAAAATTTAACACAAAAATATATAATTGTATTTGTTGTTTGAAAAATAATACTCAAGTGTATAGAATGGTATGTAAATATTTGTTCATCAATGGATTTTAAACAAGATACCCAAAGAAATTAGTGTAAATTGACCCACTAGGGTCATTTTGAATTTTAATTACAAAAACCATCGAAAAGTGTGCTTTAAAGTGTGAGTGTACAAAATACCATTCGATAAAAAAAACTTCATAACAATGTAAATAACAATTTAAACTAACTAAAAATATGACTAAAAGCCATCACCTGACAATTAGAATTATTGAAAATCATAAGAACATTTCATACTCGTAGCATAACCATAAGCTTTAATTGTCCAAGCATTTTATTTGTATTCTTTATATTATTTTTACCGAAAATCAAAGGAGCAAACAACTATGTATGTCTGCCTGTAAATATTTCCCATTACATACTCCATATATAATTTTTGTCTCACCATTTTTCTCCGTTTATGTTTTGTCACAAAAATTTGTTTAACCACAAAACCAAATAAACCCAAAGAATCCTAAAACCACAAACCAAAAACCCAACAAAAAGGACCAGCACCAAGGACCTTTTTCTCTCTGGCAAATTGAGGTAGTAGGTTGTATAGTAGTACTTCAGATCGTACTATACAATGTGCTAGCTTTCTTTGCTTGACTATAAGCCTCATTTAAACAGCCCCCCACCCATAGCCCCCGAACAGCTGCCCTCAGCACCAATTAAAAGTGTGGAACAAAAAAAGAAATATAAACTGAAAATGTAAATACAAAAGTGCCTGCTGTAATGCGAAAAATGTTCTTGAAATTGGTATCGATGCGGATGTCGAGCTGCGGTTTCTGATATTATTTGTACGAGTATCTGCATAAACGTCCGAATATCCAAGTATCCGAGTAGTCCCCGAGTATTGGTATGAGTGACATGTGCAAATGTTTGTATGGCTGATTCCCTGAGACCCTAACTTGTGACTTTTAATACCAGTTTCACAAGTTTTGATCTCCGGTATTGGACGCAAACTTGCTGATGTTATACAAAAAGAAAAGACTAAACAAAGAGACAAGCAAAAACGCAAGAAAAACAGAATGATTACAGAAGAATCTGGGATGTGAGTATGGGTACAAAATTAATAAGACATTCTTATTGGAGGTACATTTTTATTGAAATTGATGCACAAGTACGAGTACGAGTTGCTGGTGGAATTTTTTGTAATTTAATGTTCAGCCCACAGCAAGAAGCAGACTTGGATGGATGGATATGAATTCTAGCAGTTTGCGGACAGGTAACTGAAGGTCTGGTGTAAGTATTTACGAGAAACTGCATGCCTATACAGGTAAAGGTTGGAGAGAATTATTACAAACTTTGTGGGTTTTGTATTAATATTTGTTTAACCCACAGCAAAGAAGAAACACTAGACTGCATGGAAAGATCTGGCAAGTGCTAGCTGAATTAATTTATTGGTAGAGGAAGCGCGCTTCAAAACTGGAATAACCTACATATTTATAATGCTTCTAAGCTGAGAAAAAAACTATTACTTGCTCCAAGGAATGGATGCTGCCAGTCAACATCAATCAACCCACACAGAAAGATCTATTTATGTCGTCTGCTGTACTACGATTAACCTCTTAAATATTTATAGGATTACTCTCTTGTTTTCATTTAAACAATATTTAAAATCAATTATTTATTCTCGGAAGATTAACTCACTATAAATCTTCTACCTTTGCGGAAGTTCTATAACCCAAGGCATCGAGAGAGCTCATATTGAGATTTTTTTCTTGACATCAGAGCATGTCGGAATCATGTTAGATCCTGACTAATTGGCACACTGGCAATTTAGATTCTATATTAAGATTCAAGACGATTCAATAGAATATGTAAACTCTAGGTTCCAATTTGTATGGTATGTTGCCAAAATCAGTCTCTAGAATTGCAACATAAAGCACTCTCTATATGAACATTTTTTCCTTTTACAATAATTCTTCCACAACAATTTTGAAATCTAATTTAAATTCAATTTCTATCCATTTATGCTTTAATATCATACAAAGATCTTTAAAGGCAACTTATCCGATTCAAGTTTCAGTAAATTCCATATAAATTTATTTCCATTTGAAAGGATACTCCAAAATGTATACTTAATAACAAAATATTTATTGTATACCCTAAGATGGGCTAATATTCTTTCTGAAACCACACGCACATATAAAACAAAATATGATTTTGAATTGGCTTAACTACTATAAATTTAAACTAAATTCTAAGTACTAGAGATACAATGTGAGAAAGATGTGAATAAATTCATGAAAAAAACAATCGACTTTGATCTGAACAATTACATTGTCTAGAGAGTACAAAATGTATGTAGATTTACGAGTTATAGATGTATAGAATTGAATTGGACTTGATTTGATTGGAGTTTTAGGCTTCACTGATGCGTGCACTTGTTGTCCTTGGATTTCTTTTTACGATCTTCACTTGAATTTGATCGGCGCGTACCCTGAATTGGCATGTAAGGCGGCGTGGGACTGGCACTTTGATCTGCAGAAATATCAAAAATAAATATTAATAAATGCTATAAAGAGTTCGAAGTGTTTTGTTTAAATACATATATACCAAAATTGCCGGATTTGGAGTATTTGATGTGTGGCGAAATGTCATGATGGCCGCTGTGCAGTGAACTGTCATGGGAACCAGCCTCAGAGCCATAGTGTTCGGAGCTACAGGAGGAAATATTATTATTATAATTGTAATTTAATAGTTTATTTCTTTAACCTACCGCGTCATGGAATTATTAGCCTGCAGCTGCTGCAATGTCTCCGCTGCCATGTGCAGGGACACGGGCCTCTGTCCCGGTCTGCAATTATCCACTGGCAGTGTGTAGATATCATCCTCGCCACGTGTGTGGGGCATGTTATGCCTTTGCTGTCGCTGCATGGAACTGTGATTGGAGGAGCCACCTTCCCGGGTCAAACTGCCATTTGTCAGCGTGCCATTGGGCTGGCGCTGTTCGCGGCTGCTATTAAGGACATCTATGGGATTGGAATAGGCCTCCACATCGATGTCGGCAGTGCTGGAAAGGCAGTCTTGCGGCAACGGCAGCAATGGCCCACAGTGAGAGTTTGTGCCACACAACAGACTGCCATTGGTGGAGGTGCCACTGCCGCAGGCCGCTTCCTTTTGTTGATTTTTGCGCAGACGAGCCTTCTCCTTGGCACGCTTGGCTTTGGCTTTCTCCTGGAAGTGGATAAGGGTTTACATTAGGGTTTATCTTTTATTGGTTGTGGGTTGTGTTGTCTTACCCTCTCCTGCAGCATTTTGGCTAATTCTTTGTCCTGTGCCTCAATGGCCAGCATGCGATCCCGCTGCTCCTGACGCACACAATCCTTGGACTCAATGGCCTGCAAGCGACGTGCTAGCAACTAAAGGAAGGAATAATTAGAGCTACATTTTGCTTTGTTTAAAGTTCTGCACTGTACCTCATCTTTCTGCTCTTGTTTGAGCTTCTTGCTCATCTCTTGTATCTCCTCCATGGGCAGTCCAATCTCTCGCAGACTCGCATAATCGCAGGGATCCACATAGAGCTCGATGTCATCCGCATGCTGTTGCATATGCCGCTCCACTGCCTTGGCATCAGCACTGACAGTGGCCGTGGCATTGGCACCCAGTCCAAAGTTGCCCACCAGCTGATCGTATTTCTCTGGTGATAATTTCTGAAATTTGGGTTCAGTTCTTAGGAGATTCTCGTGTGAGGGCGAACGCAAAGGTGTTGCATCCACAGCATTGAGTGGGGCTGGGGCTGGGGCTGGGACTGCAGCTGCCTCCTCTTCGGGTGCTATGATGTTGTAGTTGCGTATGCTGTCGGCAACATCGGCATAGTCCACCAGCTCATCGATGTCAGCCGCCTGCACGGTGGGGTGAGTGGGTGAGTGCTGAGTTATGGATGAAGTGGAGCTGGCAGTGGGTGTGCTGGGTTGTATGTTGGATGATAATGATGTTGTTGATGGCTCATATACATGTCGACGTGCCGGTGTTGATGGATACTGAAAACGTGACTGATGTTGCTGCTGCTGCTGTGGCAATGATGTGGTGGCATCACTCACCAACAGCTGATGTTGATTCTGTGCCTGTGCATGTCTACTGGGTGTGGTGCATATTGGTGGTGTTGTTACTGTGGCCACTACCGCTGGCATATCTACAATATTTGGTATAAGCGATAATCCTACATAGTTATCGGTCTGTGAGAAATGTTGCTGTTGTAGCTTCAATGGTTTTGACTGCTGCTGCTGCTGCTGTTGACTCTGATATCTAGCCTGCTGTGAGGTGCAGGGCTCGGGATGATGGCCATTGGTCTGCGGCTGTTGCAGGTGTATACTTGCTTTGGCTGGACGCGGCGGTGGACGGTGGCCTTTGTCGCGTGTGGCAGGCGGCGGCACAGGTGGCAGATTAACATAAATTTCCTGCAAAAAAGTTATAGCTTTTAGCTTATTCCCAAGGGTAAGTTTGATCTGTTCTCACCTGCATTTTCTGTGCCATCATTTCGCTTTGTTGCAGCTCCTTTTGCTGCTGTTCCTGCAGATCACGCTCCAGCTTGTCAGCAATTTCTTTGGCCACACGCTTGTCATGCTCCTCTCTGTAAGAAATCCATGGTTATATTATTTAGCTATTGCCAGCTATCATCTTTTTGCACTCACTGTTCTGTCAGACGTCTTCTGTAGGCCTCCACCTGACGCTGTGCCTGCTCCTTTTCCTTGATCTGCTCGTGCAGCGCTGTGGGGAAATCCTCGCGTACCATGCCATTTCTATAGCGATTTCCCTTGTAAAAGTCATTTACTGTGGGGGAAATTATATCCCAAAGTAAGCCATTTATTTGATATCTCTTTTTAAATTAATAGGTTTCTACTTACTCTCTTGGGACTGCAGCTTGTAGGCCAGGGCGCCGTCCTCACGCACGAGCCACTCCTTGCACACTGCGGAAATGATAGAGAGAAAAGGAGAGAAAATAATCTCCGTTGAATCACCTTTAATTACAGTATCTAATGACATGTGCTATCAAATAACCAACCGAATCTAATGAAGCTCCGCAAAGATCATAAAAAAATCATCTGTAAGACTCTGAGTCTTGCTCCACTTGAACACGATGAGTCACGTCCGAGTTGCATTGGGGACAGACCTTAGCTAGGGACAAAGAAATTCCATTGAAGATGTACATAAGTGGACGTTGGGACTGCATTTTGATCGATTTAACCAGCCGTAGAGCCGTAGAGATCTCCCCGCGCTGATAAGCGAAAGCGTGGTAAAAATTTTACACTTAATTGTGTGTGTCCCTCTGTGTGTGTGTAGAATTTTGTTTCGGGTTATTTACGGTTCGAGTTCGAGTTCTGCTGTCTAGCTTACATGTACGATCCCCCCAGCAATTGGCTGCGTTGTCGGGCTTGTCGGTGTCTGTCATTTATCATTTTCATTTACTAGTTGGGGCATCTCTCTCTCTCCCTATGTCTCTCTCTCTCTGTTAGTGTCACTCGAAAAGTGTAAGTGTGGCCTGCTGCTGCCTTGTAGTTGGTATTTTGAGTGTGTCTTGTTATCGGATTGATGGGGAAATGGGGCTGATATCTAGGCAGAGATTCCTACAACATACGTTTCTTTGATTGACAACAGGAAATTTGGTTGTGTTTTTGTGGGGCTTAAAATTGCTTAAAGTGTCAGAAGAGGCTTTACATTTAGGTTTTAGAATGCTTAAATAGGTTTGTTCTGTTGGAAAACTGGAGCAAAGCGATCATCTTTAGGGGTCTCTTTCTCGTTTTCTTGTTCACAGTGTTTTAGTTTAATTCTTTGACCCAACTTAACATATCTGCCTCTACGATCTATTACGATCTTTTTATACACAGAAATTCCCCTCTTAAACTTTCCTAAACTTCCCACAATCAAGTGGACTGCATTTCCTTTCTATCCTCATAATTATCTACAAACTCAAATCTCCCCCTTGGGCGCAATCGCTGCCTTTAATTTAAAGGTACCTTGACTCAAAAAAAAAGAACTGTCAACTGGCAATTAGTTAAACTTTGACCGAAGAACGCTCCGACTCGGGGTAGCAATTAGAACATTTCCACTCCAGCTGAATTATGGGTCATTTCAGGCACTCGGGGTCTCTAGCCTCCCACCGACTAATGCAATTTAGTGGCGATTTCACTTAATTAACTGCAATTTGAACTGTAGCAAAGTCATCGCGGAATTACTGCAAAACCAGAAGCACAGAAAATGCACAGAAAATGCTGAGGCGTCGAACTGGCAGACATAATCAATTTAGTTGTTTGATTTCCGACTGCACATAAACACAGATATACTCACACATAAATAAACATAAACATATGCGGGTGCGAGTACGAGTACCCCAAAGGGGATTCTCTCTCTTTATATGCATGGGCATGCCAGAAAGAGAACAACCAAAATTGTATCTTGTGCCGGTGCATAAACTGAAACACAAAGTATCTTTTTTTTGCTTATTCTGCTCGCCGTTGTGCTGAGTGGTTCGGCCTGATTGCTCAGCTCAGGTTGCTCTACCTCCAGTCTGCTGCCACTCCCTCTTCTTAGCACTGTCTATACCCTAGACCGGAGTGTATGGTAATTTTAGACAGTAGTTTGCATTGAATCTGTTATGCAGACAGGCATTTACTACAACAAATCAATCAATGTACTAAGGCTTGCCAGTCTGTCTAGTATCTGGGATTATGGCTGCTTTGATGTATTGATATGCAATTGAAATTTGCTAGAGATTGTTCGGGAAGTGTATAAAACATAAAGCTTTGTCATATACCTTTTATGGGAACATGTCTAACACACTATATAAATCTGCTTACTACCATATAACTCTTGTTCACTTTACGAATACCTAGAAAATACTATTTCCTCTTTAATTAAAATCCTTATATCTCTAGCTGTCATTGGCATGGTAAAACTCGGCCTTAAATCAAGTCTTGTTTGTCAAGCTGAAAGCAGTAAATCACGCAGAATTGTTCTCGTAAAATATGCATTATTTTACTTTAAATTACCATAGCAAAAGACTTATAAAATCTGTTTACCACATAGTACATGTTTTGAGTTTCCACCATACAAACAAAGGGTCGTAAATCACATTTTTAAGAAACAGAATAATTTGAAAAATGTCAAATGTGAGCTAGGGGAGGATCAGCTGACTATAATATAAAGCGGATAAAAGGAAGATTGGTAGAAAATGGCAGCTCCTGAGATGCTTTATGATCTTAAAGGAATATTCTAACAAAAAACTTGGGTTTGTTAAAAAAATTTGTTAGGTCACACATGGAATATACGATCCAAGTCAAATTCTTATTTTTTCAAGCTTCTATCGTCTGCTTATCTACATTCCAATGGTTTCACTCTCTCGAATACATCCCACAACCCATGGAACCAATGTCTATGTTTGTTTTTCGAGAGTACCAAATGCTTCGGCCGGCAAAAGCTAACCCCTGCCCCCTTCCACGTGTAGAATTGTGCTTTCAGCAATATTGCTTACAAAGTCTTGTACGAGTACCACACGACACATACTCGTACTTGTAAGCGCATGTGTGAGTGTAAGTTTCTTGTTGTTCTTTCGTCTCTCTCTTTGTGCGCTTTTGCGTTATAATGCTACGCTAAAGCGCAGCTTTTTATTATGCACAACGGGCAACAGGCAAAAGCAAAAAAAAAAAAAAAACACAGCTATAGGGGGGGACAAAAAAACAAAGAAAATTTGTGTTGAAATTGACTTACTGTACTGCCCGCCCGTTAAATATTGCTTTGCTTTGCGCTTTATGTTTGGCTGGAAATGGAAATGGGTAGAGGAAATGGTCGTCGGGGTCGCCAGCAGCAGCAGTAAAAACAAATTGTGTTGCAAATTGCAATGACGAGGAAAATTATGGTTCTTTATGTCACTCGAATCGGAATACCTACAATTTCGGAATTCTTTCGATTTCCTGTTCCCCAAAGGCAGCTCCTTCTCATTGAGAATTCCCCACCATACTACCGTGACAGCTGATTTATTTTTATAATATAAGCCTGCGCCCGGGAACGGGGTTTGGCCAAAAAAAAAAAAGAACAGTTAACCTTTGCACAACCCACAAAATTCTCACTACAATGGAGCGGGGCGGACTGTGTGTCAAGCGGTGCAATGTGGGTCACCAAAAAAGTATTTTATTGACTTGACCAAAACAAAAAGCGATCTGGGAACGGGTTAGTAAGTCAGCAAAGCCCTCACTCAGTCTGTCAGTCAGTGCATGCGTCATTGGGTTTTGGCTTTCCAAGAATTTCGACAATGTTGTGGGCTCTGATCAGGTGGCAGGAGAGAAGTCAGCTGTGCACGAAGGCTGATCGAAAGTTTTTCGTAGAGATTCTTTTGTATAAATGCCATAAAAAGTATGAATTTGCTCGTAAAAAATAAGCTCCGAATTCTTTATAAATTTAAGCTTAGAATGTGGTTTAGGATCTTGTGTGAATGCAATAGGAAGAGCTTGTTTTTAAGCTTCTTCCATGAATGTGTAACGTAAAACTTAAAGGAATTTGCCTCATGAACAAAATTTTCAGTTGCATCTTGGGAAGACATCTTCGGACATCAAGGAATTCTTTTGCAATGGCTTCCTGGAAAATGTAATTTGATGTGTCTAGCAGTTCTTCTACAATATGCAACCAAAATACCTTTGGAAAATGCATAAAATAATCATAATTGGGAATTCTTCTACTTGAATTTTACAAATAGAAGGTTACTCTTGAGAAACCATAACCAATCTTCCCTTAAATGAACTGCAAGCTATAGAGTCTCCATGAACCATGTGACCATTCTTCAATTGATTTTAAATCAATTTATAGCCCTGAACAATTGATTGGCAAGGGCTGCTCATCAATTGGGATAAACTTTAATGTAGTGCAACCTCAACAAATGCTGCGCTGCCATTCATTCAATTAACCTTGCTGGGCATTCGATTACAGTTCAGAGAGTCCACAGGCCAAGAGCCTCGGAAAGCCGAGAGTTTTGTCCAGCCGTCAAGTCGAGTGACTTGGCCCTTTGGCACTTGCCCGGCTTCTCGACAATACTTTTGCACACCTCTCTCTCTCTCTGTGTATTTCACTCTGGCTGAATCTCTTTCACATTTCTCTCTGATTCTCACTCTGCAGCACCCGCAACTGCCAAGTTCACATTTCTGTCCATGCATGAATGGCTCTCTGATCGCGTGAAGAGTTACACAACCCCAAAATGGAAATGAATATGGATGTGGATATGGCGATATGGAGATGTGCATTGCATATGCATAAAATCTGAACAAAAAGGAGGAAAAAAAACTATAAACAAGTGTGGAAAAGCCAAAATTAGAAAGCAGTTTGACTGGAAAATTTACGATAGCCAGGAAAAAATATTAATGTATGTGTGTGCAGAGGAAAAATGTTGTTGACGCTTGCATTGATTAGCGACGAGTGCAACAGAGGCAGGCTACTGCAACAAGAGAGAAATGAGAGCTGCAAAGAGTCGAAGCTGGAGATACTCTAAAGGGTGCAACGGGTGAAAAAAGGATCACCAAAATGATCAAAGTTTGTTACTGAAAACGGCAGTTTGAATATATTCATAAAATATTATTTTTTACTACTACGGGATGATCTTACGATCCGAGCTTATTGTTCCCCAAATACAAACTGCTTGGGACTTAAAGTTCAAAGTTTCTTCCATTTGTACATCGTATTATGGAACTAATAATCAACTAAGCAGACAGACTTATGAGGCTACAACCCTTGGTATTATCTACATCTAATTTACAGGCTTAACTATGCAACCTTTTATGCGTTCCCAACATCTGCTCATAATCATAATACCCTTTTGCCAGAGCATAACAATGAAGACGCGGCGCCGAAAGTGGAAAAACCTGACTCAAGGTTGTTGAACATGCCACTGGCAGGCAGAGCAAAAGCAAACGATGGCATGGCATGGCCCGGTATGGGATGGGATAGGATGATGGCGACCAGAAATGTGGCCCTGCAACGCCAACAATGTTGACTATTTGAATGTTGCATCTGACAGATACAGATGCACCACGAGAGTGTGTATGTGTGTGTGTGTGTGTTGGTAATATTTATATAGCCAGCCTTACATTGACCTTAGCCATGCCCCAACATGATGATGATGCGGAGGACAATGATCATGATGATGATGACGCACAAGTATTTCATTCAAATGAACTCAAGAGTTAAGCCAAAGTTCAGGCTCGGGTATCGGTTTTCATTGATTGATTGAATGGCCCACTCAACAGGCAACAACCAATAGAGGCAAGCTTATGAATGCCACAGACATTTCAGACATTCGTTATGGCCACAAGAGAATAGCCAATAATTGTCTGTTTTTCGAGTGTGGCTGTAACAGAAAATTAGCTTAATTTTTCAGAGCCATGGCAAATACGAGTATCTCAAGCGTTTACTACGAAAAACAAAACAAAATAGAAACAAATACAAATACGAGTAGGAATTGTGCTAGACAACGACTGTGAAAAGCTTTCTCTTGTTTTGATGGGGATGAAGTCTGCTGGATAATTGAGTGTTATTCTTTTTTTTTTGTAGAATTTACTCTATAATCTGGCGGAAAATTACACACACACATTTGTGGTTGTGTGTTTTTATAATATATGCTAATGTTTGTTGTGTGCTTTGCTTAACAAATTAGCGACTAACTCAATGTTTATGTAGAATTCAAGGCAATTGTATTGACAAATATTTTTATTGAATTTCTAATAGTTTAACAAATAATTTATCCTGCTTAAAAGTCTCTCTAAACTTAACCCTCATGTCTATGCAAATATTTTTTTGCACATCATCCATCCCGTATTAAGTGCCACAGCTGGCACTCTCCAACACTTAGCTCCCCTATGAATCTACATTATTTTTTGGCATCTTTAAAAGCTGTTTTATAGGCCACAGCAAGTCATGACAAAGCAGCCACAGAAAGTGTTGCAGGAAGGAGGAGAGCCCTGGAGCAACGGGCAACGGGCAACGGGCACCGGGTTTCCTTTAAGTGCTATCCACCATAGAAATGTTGAGAGCCAAATCCAAATGGAGGAGACCTCTTTCCTGGCACTTGCACATCCTGTCATCGTTGCAGTGGCAAGTGAATCATTCTTGGCATGCAGCGGCAACAGCAGCAGCAAAAAAATACAACAAAAAAACTGTAAAAAAGAAAGAAATAAACTGCATTCAGGCATCGAGGCCCGGCAGCTCGTCATGCAACTGCTGCTTCTGGGGCTGTTGCAAAAGATCTCTCTCTTTTTCTCTCTGTGCCCCCACTAGCAGCCCTCTACACTTGTCAGTCAGGGCAAAAAACAGAAGGAGAGTTTGCGGACTAAGGGATACCCGGTGGTACGGTTTGTGGGCCAGGGAAAGGGTGGAGAATTCGGCAATTATTCATTTCAACTATTTTGCATTCATATAAAAATAAGTACGGATGTTTGTAGAGGATATTTAATCTCTAAAGAGGCACATCCTATAATTTTAAAAGATTTCCTGTAGTAAATTTCAATGTGAAGACAAACTTTATCCATCAGAAATTTCTAATAACGATTCTTCCAGCTTTTAAAGTTATTTTAAAATAAAACACAGCATACCCCTTATTCCCTTCTTTTCTGGGGTATCAAAAGAGGCCAGCAAGCAGTTAAGTTTTGTGTTTGAGTCGGGAGGCCTGCCCCTGCACTGCCTGCCTGCCTGATGGCTATTCCAAAACCGAGGGGCTGCCTGCTTGCCGCCTTTGTGGGGGTCTTTTGTCATGCGTGCTTGGGCGCAAATGAAGCGGCGGCAATCCCCTCTACCCCATTCCCCTCTACACATCGTCAGCTGTTGCCCATTGCACGCGCTGTTCAGTGCTGCAAGTATCTTAAAGATACAAATACCTTTGCTATGCTCCGATCCGCTTTGCGGCATTCTGCCTGCCTTCTGCCATGCCTGCCTTTTGCATGTCTAGTCATTAAATGGAAAGTGCTGGCGGCAATCTTTATTTTTTTTTGCACCTCAAAACAACCAAACTTACAGCAGATATATTTTCCCTTTCTGTTGCGGGGATCTTGTTGCTCTTTCCCCCATTTTATCGCTCTTTCTCCTCTCACTCTGTCGCTCTCAATGTAAACTATATAACAGCTCGGCATTTGTTTATTTTTCAACTGAAATTTCTTCTTCAGAGCCCTGTCCGCTCTCGGTCTTCGGGTCTTTGGTCTTCGGTCGTTGGTCTGTGGTTTCCTCAGATGTTTCTGCTGCTGCTGCTGCCGCTGACTGGCAGTCTTTGTTTCTGTTTATCGTCTCATGAAGACTTTCAAAACCAAATTCGAGTCGGAAGCCCCCCAAAAAGGGTAGCAGCAAGACACGGCACAGCAAGACCTTTCTTGTGACTCTCGAGAAAGTTTTTTCCATCTGTTTCGCTGGCTGTTGTGTTTTTCATTTTCATTAACATAATACACAAAAATTGTGTCGCTGAAGATTTGCACACAAGCTTCAGGGGCATTTCGTAAATTTCAATCAAATTAGGTGGCTTATTCAATACTAGGAAGGGGCTTGGATTTCCATGCTGCAACCATTTTTCATATGCAAATGGGGGAAGCTTACATCTTACCCTGAGCTTACATCAGAAAAGAGCTGGGAAATGTTGTAATAAAAGTAAATCAAAGAGGATTTTAACCCTCTAAAAAATAGTAGAATATAAGAAGATTATTCCACGAATAAGTTATTAGTTTAAATTACAAATGAGTCGGCAAAAAGTGTTCTAATTCTTTCGTTACATACAATAATAATTTAAAATCTCTTCCCCGCACATTAACATTAATTATACCACATCACACATGGGGGAATTATTGTGGCAAAATATCATAGGAATAACTTTGAATATTCATTCATTAATGTGTTGACGGAACGTGCTCCAGAGCACTTTGTTTACAACTGAATCATCATGAATAGCATTCAATATTGTGGCGGCGGTTTATTTGAGCTTGAAGACGAGTGTCGACTGTCGGGAATAGTTCTGGGAACTCTTTTTCTTTGTTTTGGCTGCTATCAAAGGGGAAGGTTGAAGCAGACAGAGTGGAAAGGGATTGCTGGAAGAGCTGAAATTAATCATTTTCGGATCTGTTTCCCCTACTCGAACTTGAACGCGAATCAATTCCCCAATTATGTATCTAAGAACCATCGACTGGAAATTGTTCATGTTCAACCAATTTGGTATTGGGTTTCGGTGGTGCTTGTTCTGCGCTCCCCTCTCGCTCTTATTAGGGCAATTTTAGACCCTTGCTTACCCTCATTAACATGTCCTGATCGTGGCAGGGCTTCCTTAGTGCCAGGAGGCGGTGCGGCGGCTGTTGCGGTTGTAAAATTATTCATCTCTATCTCGGCGTCGTCGTTGTTTTTGTTGGTCTTTCTCTCTCTTCCCCGCTCTCGCTGTTTGCTTTTGTATACGCAAAATTCTCTCTCGATCTACGACTGTGTCTCTATCGCAGCATTCAATCTCTAACTGTGAAGATCCTCCTCTTTATTTCTCCCTGGCAATTTCTACATTCAATTATCTTTATTTCTGTAGATTTAGTTTCTCTTTTACTTCGTTTCTGCTTCTCTTTGTGGCCTTCACTTTAATTTCACAATTTCCAAATGTTGTTCTCTCGCTTCTCCAAATAATTATCTACATATTTCAACATATAATTCTCTATGCTGCACACTCAATTCTCATTCTCTCTCTCCTCCTCTCTGTATCTCGTTTCTGCTCTTAAACAGGTGTTTAATTCATGAGCTCAAGGACGGACAAATTCCTGCCGCTGCTCTCTTGTTGCTGTTGTCTTGTTACAGCCGCGCCTTCCTTTCCTTCCACTCGAGTGGATTGTCAATATTTCACGTATTTGTGGTTTGTTTCTTCTACGCTTTACTGTTTCATTAATTGTATGAAATTTATTTTGCCTGAGCTGTAGTTATTTCACTTTCACACTTCCACACACTCCACACGGGGTAAAAACAATTTTCATCAAAAATATTTTTATGAACAACACACAAGAAACGACTCGCGCGCAATCCGCATCCAAGCGGCAGCTGCAATTTCAATTTGTTGTATCTGATGGAACAGAACGACGCACTCGAAGATACGCTTCGGACTCAATCGACGGAGACCGGCGACGGCAGCGGCAGCGGCAGCGGCAGTGGCTCTGTCACTGGTTTTGGGGCTGATCGAAACGCGTCCAACATTCAACTCATTCAACAGCGAAAGCCGCTCAACAAATGCTCGAAAGTGCGGACCACTCTTGGTTGTATCTGATGGATGGATGGATGGATGGCGGGGCTAAACAACAATAATATTTCCATGTATTTCCATGGCATAACATTATTAGGTGGGGTTCATTGTGGGTCCTATTTTGTGGAACATAAATTTCAACACTTCGAAAGCTTTAGACCTTCGAAGAGTGGAAAGGTTTGACCATTTTTTAATATGTATATTTATTGTTGGTAAATAATTTAATATTTCCAGACCCACCTGGCGTTGTTGGTCATAACATACCCTGCTGGCCGTACCTTATTTACAGATACTCTGAATACTTAGGAACGAAACGGAACATAACTGCAACTGGAATGGGATACAAATTGTATACAAAGCGGAATGCAATGGAAATGAACTTAAATGCATAGAGAGAAAACGAGATGGAGAGAAATATTACGGCAGACAGAGAAAGAGAGAAGCAGAGAGAGAATAAAAACAACAAGAGCGAGAGAGCGCGGGACTGGAATTTGTTGCCTGGAGGCAAAAAGTGCTGCCAATCATTTGAAGCCAATTTGAACAGATTTTAACGGAAAATTCGTTTTCTCCATTTAAAACTTTTTTTTACATTTTTTATAAATTGTTCTTACATTTTCCTTGTGTTTGTTTGAGTTTATTTAATTTCTAAGCATTTAGCTACAATTTCTATGGGCCGCAATGGGACAGCACTTTAGTCGAGACACCAACGTTTAGCAGAGTTTCGAACCATATATTTTTGTGCCGCTCAAAACAGGTTTTTAACAAATTTAAATTTGAAAGAGTCAACAATAATTTTGCTCGTTGGAATTTGTGTACACTGAAAAAAATGACTAATTTTTTTTTTCAGCATACAAATGCCTAAATTATACAAATTCCTCGCGCACTGGATATATTATAGGATTGTTGATAACAATGATAGAGATTAAGTTCAAGGTCAGTTTTCAGAGTGTTTTCCCTATCATGCATTTTTTTAAAATTCATTTTACAATGATCAGACAATGTTTATTTAACATCTGGTGGATTTTTGATATAGGAGCTATAATTTTCACATACATTTGATAAACATTCGATCCAATTATTTTTGTCAGTGCAGTTCTATTCTCAATGTTGTTGCAATTGTTAATGTCTGACATCAAGTGTTTATATTTATAATTCATATTTACACGACTTTTCAACAGCTTGTACGTGTTGCCAGGCCCCAAAGTTAAGGTTCTAAATGGCATAGAGCTGTATGTTGATTTTTTTTCGGTTTAATGATTCTATGGACAGGCTTGTTATAGTGGTAATTTGATAGATTTTCATAAATAAAAGATGTGGACTGGTCTGTCTGATAAGCTGCTAGGTAAATAAACAAAAATACTCACTCGACAGTGAGAGTGAGTAGAGTGAGTGACATTCAGTCTTCATTTAGTGCCCAAACCAAACGCTTCACTCCTCCAATTTCTCGCTGATCCAAACCCTTAATAAGGGAAATACTTGAAAGCCGGGCTCAAAGTATGCGCCTGATTCCAAAGGCAAACTGTGTGTTTGTTTTAACTCGAAACAGAAATCAAAACACACAGATACGCACCCATACGGGCTGAGAGCCATGGGCCCATATCGGTTACCTGCTGGCCACAGACTCTGAGATACTAGATACACTCTGAGGCAAATGGCATGACGTGCACACACACAGATACACGCAGCAACACACGTCGAAGTGAGAAAAAGGTAAACAAGAGTCAAGTCAATGCGTACACACTCCATGCATTTGTATGGGTAGACTCTGAGTATCTTGGCAACACTCCAAGCGAACGATCGGCATTTTGTGGCCAGTAACGAGTTGAGTGTGGCTCAAACGAGTCGAACAAAACGGATAACAAAAAAACAAAACGCGTTTGAAAAGTGCAAGAAATATAGAAAGTTAACAAACAAATCAATTTCATATATCAATAAAAAAAGTGCAACCACAGAGAGTGTGAAAATGTGTTAAAAGTGGTGGAAAAGTTGATGAAAAATGGACTGAAAGTTGGCCAAGATAAAACTCGTTTGCACAAACACACACACACACACACACACACACACAGATACGCAGAAACGCACACCAGTGCAGCCACAGACTTACTTTGGGAGTCGAGTCTGAAAGCCAATACAAAACAATTAAAATAAAAGAAGTTAAGTCAGTCGGCGTCGGCGTCCTATGAATCATCCGTCGAGAAAATAACTTCCAGAAGAGTGAAGCTCCTCCCCGCCCCCACCCAGTTATGTAAACTGCAGCGAACAACAGAAGCGGAAACAGCAACAAATATTTGTGTAAAACAATCACCCACTCAGCCAATCAATCACTTAATCAAAGCGAGAACGTTGCACATGTCTGGCAAGGAAATGCGTCCATTGTCGCTCTCCATAGGCGCCTCATTGCTGCCCAGCTTCTCGCTGGTCACAGCCTCCCAGGATGGCGGCTTGCACAAGGATTGCCATGGCAAGCTCTGCAATCCCGTGGAGGAATACTGTTCGGTGTTTAGCGAGGCCTGCGACTCTTGTGCGACCATTTGTGATGCCAAATCCCACAACTACCAAGCGGACACATGCGCCAAGGAGTGTTCAGGTAAGTGTAACCGAGAGATTGCTCCGTTGCCTCACTCTTGCCATAAAGTTAGTCAATAACTAGCTGCAGTTTGGGGTTTTCCAGTTGCCTAATGAAGGTTCAATTGTTTGTAATTAATGTGGCTTGGTTCAAGTGAATAGCTCATCGCTGATGAGTATCTTCCATCAAGTTTTTAGTAGCTGTAGGTTCAGGTTTTTGTGGTGCTATAAAGCAACCTGCTAAATCCAAAGTAAACTGCAAGCAATATCTCCGTAGATAACCAATCTTCTTCCGTGAGTTGTCATATTCTGATTCATAACTTTTATCCACAGCCTACAACAGATACGAGCCCCTCAAGGCGGAAATTCACAATATACAGAGCAACCAGCAATTGATTTTGATCCTGCTGAGCATACTCCTCATCCTCATAGCCATCCGTTATGCCTACAAGGGTCTACGCTGGCTGCTGCGCAAGCGATGTGTCCAGCAGATGCTGCAGCGTTATCAGACCAAGTCCTATCCACATGCAGGGACGGCTAATGGCAAGGATCTCAATGCCACGACCATACAGAATCTCAGTGCCATTCGTCATGGCAGCGACATTGAGCGGGCGCCGTCACAGATCTACAGTGTGGCCGGTAAGTGTAAGGATCTACCTGACATTCCCAGAAGCAGCAGCGAAATCCAATTCATTGATGTTTATTTATTGTTTGTGATTTACAGGCGCTGCCGAGGGTTCCGTGCTGACACTGACGACGCCAGTGAGCACTCGCTACCCGGCCGAAAATAGCACCACGCCGACTACGGTGGTGACTGAAATTGGTTATGGATATGATAATCAGGCCATGGTTGTGACGCCGGTTTCCGAGAAGCCAACAATTGCCACAACGGGCGCTTTCTAGACTCCCTCCCTACGGCAGACAAGCGAGCGCAGAATGTGCATCACATTGAAACTAGTGATATTTTGTAGTTAATTAAGCAAAAAGTCTTCGAATGATATTGAAAATACAGCAACACAATAGTTAGTTGTAGCTTTAACCTTACTTGTACAGTTTAAATACAGATGTACTTATATTTTCTAATTTTGGTTTATTTTTGTGCTATAATTCAAATTTGGCGCAGCAACTGCCTATCGATGGATAATAAGTTGCTCATGTTTGCGTTCTCTCAATGGAACTTCTATCGGACCTGCAATCGGAACTTAATTGTGAGCTACAGCTGTTCTCCTGAACGCCGCTGGTTCCATTAATCGGAACTTGATTTGCAAATCATATGAAGAGGTTAAAAACATGTCATTACCATTGATTTGTACAAGTGGCACATGTACAAAGGCACATAACATACCGTACTATTGGTTGACAAGCAACAAGTTGACAAATACATAACATTCCATGCCCACGTTTTATACTACGTTTGATGTTGTACCTTTTTAGTTTTAAACTTAATTTAGAAACATTCCAATAAAAGGAAGTCGAGAAGACTAGCCAATCTTGGCGAAATTTGATTGATATATCGGATAAAATTTTAGTTTTATCGCAAAAATTTCTAACTAGCTTGTAATATAAAGTAGAACAGCGAAATCGAGGAAAATGATTTAAGATTGATGGTCTATTTCGGTATCTTTTGAAAATGAAAAGGTATATTGCGTGCGGTATATTTTATCGATAAGTCCGCTGTCACATTGCAAATTTTGTAAACAAAATTGCAAACATTTTAGAAGTTTGTGAAATGTGATAAAAGCACGTTAATTTTGGCTTAAAAGTATTGTCATTTATTTAAATAAGTATTCCATGTTGGCAAACACAATGCTAAGGTTAATGTAAGTTGGCAAAAGTGTCCTAAAACCTAATTTTTGAGTATAACTCTCGCGTATGCTGCACTTAATTTCGACATAAAAGTATGTTTAAACCGTATATGACACTCCAGTTACGATACGTGCATAAGTAAGTAGATATGTTTAATGTGTATATTGTATCAAATGCTGTATACTAAGCTTAACAAGTCTGTCCGTGGCGTACCCTAAAGTTGTGCGAATCTCATAAAATCAGCCTTAAACTTAAGCCTAAATACAGTACAGTACATAATGGTATATAAATATCCTAGGGACTAATCGTATCTGAACATTTCGTAGCTTAAACCCAATACTGATTGCGTCGCAGCAAGGGATTCGTTGGCGGCGCCGAGGGCGGGGAGCTGACGGACCCCGAAATGCTCTGCGGCACCGAGGCATAGCCAGCAAAATCATTGGCCATGTCGCAGGAGGAGCTCCAGGCATCGTGATCCAGATGATAGGGATTGTAACGCTGCGGCAGCATCATCTGCTGTGGATCGCACTGATCGTCGGTCTCATCCTCATCCGGATCGTAGTCGGGAAACTCGTGCTTGTACGACTCCACGGGGATGATCTTGCAGTGCGGGATGTTGCTGAATCCCGGCAGCGGTGTGGAGTTGCCTGTCGCTGGCAC